TTTACCATGTTGGCCAGGATGGTCTTGATCTCTTGACCTCGTGATCGGCCGGCCTCGGCCTCCCAAAGTGCTGGGATTACAGGCGTGAGCCACTGTGCATGGCCGCTTTTCCCTTTCTTTGTGACCCCACCTTCTTTAGTTAGATGTCTAAAATGAGCAGAAAAAATAATGCTATGACCTGGGGAATTTGAGTGTTTGCTCAGATCCCTGTTCAGAAAGCAAAGCTTCGCTAAAGCAGCAGTTGGTATGTCCTGTGCAGGCTTCTTATCTTGCCTGTTCCCTTCCTTTGCCCAGGGGGTCACTATATCTACCTTGAGGCTGACAAGTTCTCCCAGGCAGGGCAGTCGGCCAGACTGGTGAGCCGGCCCTTCTGCGCCCCGGGTGACATCTGCGTGGAGTTCGCGTACCACATGTATGGCCTTGGGGAGGGTACTATGCTCGAACTCCTCCTGGGAAGTCCTGCGGGGAGCCCTCTGATTCCTCTCTGGAAACGCCTGGGGTCTCAGCGCCCTTACTGGCAGAACGCCTCTGTCACCATCCCCTCAGGACACCAACAGCCCATGCAGGTGAGAGACAGAGGCGGGGGTCCTGTCTGTGTGGGGTGAGAGGGCCAATGCTTGGGATCTGGGGGCGCCACCAGTGCTGAAGAGGTGGAGAACTGGAAAGAGAGCCAAGAAAAGGGGAACTTCATGTTACGGAAAGTGAGAAAGGGGCCGGGACAGGGCTGGACCGTTGAGGCTGGAACAAGGTGACATTTTGGCAGAGGACAGACTCTATGCCCAGCAGAATCACAGAGTTGCTGGAGATTCATTTTTGTTTCTCTCTCCATCTTTCTCCCTTGTTGCCTTCAGCTGATTTTCAAGGCCATCCGGGGCAGCAACATGGCCTTTGTGGTTGCTATGGGTTTCATCTTGATCAATCCTGGGACTTGTCCAGGTAAGACCAAAGCCCAGGCTCCAGGAAGGGGGCAGTGCCCTGAGATCACCATTCCCCAGGGTTCTCTCTATGACCTGCTTAAAATGCAGGTCTTGGCCGGGTGCGGTGGCTCAAGCCTGTAATCCCAGCACTTTGGGAGGCCGAGACGGGCGGATCACGAGGTCAGGAGGTCGAGACCATCCTGGCTAACACGGTGAAACCCTGTCTCTACTAAAAAATATAAAAAACTAGCCAGATGTGTATAAGAGACAGGAGCGAGACTCCGTCTCAAAAAAAAAAAAAAAAAGAAATGAATTGAGGGTCTGGGACAGGGAGTAGGGATTCTGGGTCGTGGAATGGAGCCGAGTCAGATCAGGAGCTTAGGGGTATGGGCTGTGTGCTCACTCCCAGCCCATCTCCCTTTTTCTCCAGTTCACCGTGGTGGGCGTTTTTGGAAAGACCCCAGAGCCAGCTGTGGCAGTCGATGCAACCAGCATTGCTCCTTGTGGGGGTGAGAACAGGCCCTGGGAGGCCCGGATCTCTCAGAATCCGGGGTGGGCTGGGAGAGGGCTGGAGAGCATCACTCAACTTGCTTAAATATCCTATTTTGATCCCCCAGAGGGCTTTCCTCAGTGTGACTTTGAAGACAACGCCCATCCCTTCTGTGACTGGGTCCAGACTTCCGGGGTTGGTGGACACTGGGCCGTCGGACATAAAAATGGACCCGTCCACGGCATGGGACCCGTGGGAGGTTTCCCTAATGCAGGTGAGGAGATTGAAGAGCGCTCGCGCCAAGGAATCACTCAGTCTGCTCCCAGGTAGTGGGCTGGCTGCTGTGACTGGTGGGAGAAGCTGTTTCGGGCGGGGGAAGATCAGTCCACAGGTGTTTATTCGGAAGTTGCCATGTTACTGGAACTGTGGAGATAGCAGAGTAACTTAATGATTCTCAGGGCGGGGGAATCACTGAAATCCTAAGAAAACCTGGGCAATCTCACTTCATGGAGCCCAAGGCTTCAAAACCCACCACCTCATTTTCAGTCTAGACATTTATGAGTGGCTCATGCCTGCAATTCCAGCACTTTGGGAGGCTGAGGCGGGAGGATTGCTTGGGCCCAGGAGTTTGAGCTCAGCCTGGGCAACATAGTGAGAACCCCATCTTTAGAAAAAAAAAAAATATATATATATATA